GGGCCCCTGCGCAGGAAAGGGGCGGGGGCCGGGCTGTCGGCTCTGCGGCTCCTGCCCCCGCCCCCGCGGGGCTGCCTGACTGCGGCTCCGCTCCCCCTCGCGCTACGGACACAGGCGCTGCCCGCTGCAGCGGCCCAGACCCTGTCCCAGTCCCAGCCCTATCAACCTGTGTCGGGTTTCAGTGAGGAGCACGTCTGGTCTTGGGCACATCCGGGCATTTGGCACCGCCACCTGCCCTGCCGGGTTCCCTTCTCTGTGGTCCCCTCCCGGCTTTCTGTTCCTGCACAGCTCATAGTCTGGGGTAAAACCTGCATCACCTTCCAGTTTCTTCTCTGGCATGTCTCCTTGTCTCCTCAGGTCTGACCCAGCGCAGCAAGCAGGCCCAGAAGGGGGAGCGCCGGGTGGGGGTCCCCCCGGCCCTCCACCCAACATGAGTAGTAACCGCCGGCTGCAGCAGACGCAGGCCCAGGTGGAGGAGGTAAGTCACTATGTGTGAGCCTGCCCTTTCTCTGAGCTGTTATGTAGCAGTGCCTAGAGACACTCCAAGGGTCACTCCCTTCCCCTCGCAGGTGGTAGACATCATGCGTGTGAATGTGGACAAAGTGCTGGAGCGAGACCAGAAACTGTCAGAGCTGGATGACCGGGCAGATGCTCTCCAGGCTGGTGCCTCACAGTTTGAAAGCAGTGCTGGAAAGCTCAAGAGGAAGTACTTCTGGAAGAACATGAAGGTGAGCCTGGCTGCCCAGCCCCCTCCTTACACCAAAGCTAAACAGTTGTCTGTCTCTACAAGAAAATGTCACTGATCTTGCATAGCTGTATGCCAATCTAGTGGAGCATCTTGCCCATGATTCTGCCTCTTAGCAATGTGTAAAGAACAGAATGTGTTACAAGCAGGATTAGCTGAAGGGTGTAATTTTCTTAGGAGTGCATGAATTGTATCCTTTCAGTGGTTCTCTGCCTTTTTCCTTTTCAGCCTCTGAGGCACAAGGTTGGCTGGGTCAAGATCAGACTTAACCAGCCCTGCAGTTGCTGTCCAGGCTGAGAGGATATTTTTTGAAGCTTCTGACCTAGGGTTGCTAGTCACTCAGATTTGGAAGTGCCTGGTTCAGCCAGTACATCTACCTGGTTGCACTGAGATGATAGGCTTGTATCACTGTGTCGGGCCATGCTATGTGGAAGACTAGAGGTCTGCTTTGAAGGGCACAAATAGATGCTCCAGCTGGCACGGGACACTACTTCATGCCAACCTACTGAGTCTCACCATTTCGTAATCTCTCCGCAGATGATGATCATATTGGGAGTCATTTGTGCCATTGTGGTGGTTGCTATTGCACGTAAGTACCAATGGGTGGGCGAGAATACGAGGTCAGGGAACCTTCTCCCTCTTGATTAGGGGCCTTGAGAGTAACTTTGCCTACTTGTGGCAACTTTCACTGCTCAATGAGACTGGACAGGGAACTGGAACCTCCTGTCAGTCCCAGAGACTTATGAAAGTTTTACAAATAAATAAGGTTTGGGAGCAGTCTCTCTTGGAAGTGCTGCTTTTTACCTTCTACACAAAAGGACCTCTGCCTGGCAGTAGGAGGGTTGAAATACCCAAATCCCCAGCTGGGGGAGATATTTTGGTTGATGAGTGTGGGGACTTTGGTGTAACTGGCCCTCTTGTTCTCTCCTTCTCTCTCTCTCTCTCTCTCTTTTTTTTTTTTTTTTTTTTTTCTTTTGTTTTCTGTCTGCAGTCTACTTTTTTACTTGAATGTGGTTCCCCATAATCTGCAGCCTACCTTCCCTGATCACCCCCTCTCTCCCCTGCCCAAGCTCCCTCCACCTGGCTTTTCCATCATTAATTTTTTTGTTTGTTTGTCTTCTGTATGAGGTTCTGATGCATCTTTCCTGGACCTGGGCTAATCCCTTCAACAGCTGCTGTAGCCCCAGGGAGGGGCAGCTCCACTTGAGGAGAAGGGAAAGGGAGGGAGAATTCTGCCCCCTCCAGCTTCTGTTGTAATTGTAATTGGAGTTGTAGCACAGCGTCAGTGTGAACTTCCTTCACAGCAGTGCCTTGAGGGTTGGGCTCTGGTAGTGTGAGCTTCCTTAAGCAGTTCCCTGGCAGTAAGGAGCTCCAGGGATTGAAAGAAGACTCCCATGCTGTCTGTTCAGCATTGCTTCCTTTGAAAGGAGCCAATGGCAGCAATTCTGTGTTTTCCTTTAACCTCTGAAATCTGGTTAACAGTGGTTACTTAGTCTTCCACTCAAAAGCAGTAGGCTATAGGCACTCTTCTGCAACATGAGGAATGACATGCAGGGGCAGTAGCAGCAGGAGTATTTGGATTGGTGTTCTGTACACCTACAAGACTCAAGTGAACACATGACCCTCTAGCTATTTACTGGCATGTAGCTTATGCTGGGGGTATAGTGGGGCAAGGTTGGGGGCGGAGCAGGAGTGGATCAGGAGTAGGAATCAAAGGGCTTCTTAGGATGATTACCATGTTCTGCGGCATAGCCAGGTCCGGCCTGTCCTGGGCTGGATTCTGCATTTCTTGGCCAGTCCTTGGTTATTGCTATTTTTTTTTTCTAAAGCCCCTTATGCTCGCAAGAGTTAAGAGAAATTCAGAGCAGACTCTCAAGAGCAGCTTCCAAGTGCAGCCCTGCTCTGAGGATGGGTTTTGGGAAAGAGGCACCAGATTCCCACATCCAGCAGCTCCTGGTTCTCTGAGAATCTGTCCCATCAACAAGCTTAAATAGCTTTACTTCCCTTGGGCTGCAAACTCTGCCCTAGATTTTTGAAGCCAAGAGTAGGAACTTGCCAGTGTTCCTGAGAACTAGTACCAGTTACATGAAGGAAATGTGCAGCTTCCTCACTGAGGCAAAGGTATGATCTTATATAGGCAAATCCTATTTAGGTAGGGCTGTGTTTCACAAGGCTGCTCTAAATCCTTAAAGTGCAGCTCTGGATTGAATGGACAAGTAAATTGCATAGTAAATCTTTACAAAACTGTGTTGTGAGTAGTTTGGGGTTTTTTTGTGGGTGACTTGTTACCTCCAGAGGATGAGAGGGGAGAGAATGTGGAGAAAAGAGTAAAGATATGTTTTTGATTGAAGGAAGGCCCCTTCAACTAGAACTCCTGGAACTGTTCAGCATGGTGCTCTGAGGGTTATATACCATAGCCAGGTGGAATACTGGGAAGGGGGAGGGGTGCAATTGGTGAGGCCTCCCTATGGGAGTGAGGTTGAGAACTGTTGAGAATGAAAGCTGCTTGTTGTCTTGGGGCATGCTGGGAAGGGTCTCCTCCTTCAGGGCTTGCTGAGAAGGGGCTGGATTTTTGCATGTTTACCTCCATGCACTGGCATTTCACTTGCATTGAGTCCATCTTCCTGCTATTCCCCATCCTTCCCTTTCGGAAAGGGTAGAGATGAAGATCTGGAGTGAAGCAGCCCTCGTCCTTAAAGGACTTTCCTCATCCCCCGTGGAATTGAGCTTTGGTTATGGATGGACAGAAGTAAAATCATCTCTCGAACTCTCCTGGACAAGGCTTTGGCACCTCGTTCCTCTTGGTCTTCTGGTGGTTGAGGCCTCTAGGCTGTCTCTTCCATTTCTTCCTCTAGGGTGTTGTATCTTGCCTTTCTCTCCTCCTCCTTCACCCTGTTCTGTCTTTCTGCATGGGCAAAAATATACCTGTCCCCAGGCCCCCAGAAGATGAAGCAAGGGACTTCCCTCCCTTTCCACAGGACTTCAGCCGCTGTCTCACGCACGTGTGGTTTGTGTAATCTCCTCTATAAATACAACTGTAACCTTCCTTTCCGGCATGTAGAGCAACCAGCTCATGTACTCTGAACTCTGCTAACAAACACAATCCCACCACCTTATTGCGTCTGCCACCTTATTGTCTCTGTGTGGATATGAGTGGGGAAAGGGAAGGGTGACCTTACACTTTGCCCTTGAGGGAAAGGGACTTCATTCTAATTCTACTACTCACTTTGAAATCCTCCCATGTGTTTTGGGGGGGGGGGAAAAAGTGGTTCCAGGCATCTGGAAGTGAAGCACAGCCTTTCAACAGTACAGCACCAGTTCCAGTCATGCTAGGAGTATGCATCTGGTGGACAAACCAAAGGGTAAGTGGGAATGAGGAGGTGGACTTGTGTTCAGTGTAAAGCTTCCATTCTACTTCCCAGATACATATGTGGTTTGAAACTCTGTTTGTGGGAGGGAAACTTGAAGAAGCTGTATCCTTCATGAGCCAGTGGGAATTGAAAATTAATATGCCACCAGTGCCAAGTTAACGTGGGTAAATTAAATTACCACCCAGGCAGCTGAATTCAGACATGGGTCCCTCTCATTCTGCTAACAATGGGATATAAAGGCAATATCCTTCTCTAGCAGGCCTTTTAGAGGTACATCCTGGTACTTTCCGTCCCTTGAAGAGAATATTCTGGTTGAATTTTCTCTGGCTACTTCTTCTCTCTTCAGCTCTGTAAATTCATGTTACTAATTAGACTGCACATCTACTGGATCATTTTGCTGGTGCTCCTGCTTTTGAAATTCATAGTTTCCTTTTGTGGAGTTTAAATTTTATGCTTTTACAAGAAACTAGCTGGGGGGGAGGACTGTTTCAGCTGCTTTTAATTGGGTCTCATAATGCCCACCATCAAGTACACACAACTCTTGCCACCAGAAGCAAAATCTATGTAGGCAGTCACTTAAAATACCTGTGGTATCTAAAGCTCTTCAAGGTATTTTATTTGCAACTTTGACACCTTTCCTTTTCATCTTCTTCTCTGTGGTTCTATACTTGATTATGGGACAGAGGAACCATTGTACCTGTTTTCTTTATGTCCTTGTGTAGGGGAGGGGATGCTAGGTGCAAGGGTATCTAGCATACAGGAATAACTTCAAGAGATACTGGAAGTCAAAAGCATCCAACGTGTATAGAGCACCAGGAGAAAGCTGTGTAGATAATGCACCTCAGGGAATCTGTTACTGTAAGCTAAGCACCCTTTTTTTTTTTTTTTTTTTTCCCCTCTGGCAGTGTAAAGTGTCTTATTCAAAAACAAGGTTATCTTAATGCTTTTAGTAGTTTTGTCTCTGAGGAGTATTTTTCCTGATGCCTAGCAATTCTACTGGAGTATCTAGTCTTAAGTTAGAGGCTGGGCATGGTGAGCACTGGGCACCAGAGTAGGATCCTCAGGCTGGTGTTCCTGCATCCTTTCAAACCTATACTATACCCCAGACATAGCAGGCTAACACCCCAGATATGGTCAGATCTACAGTGACTACAAGCTAATGTGATTCTTGAATGCTTAATACTCCCCGCTGCCCCACACTGCAATAGAGCCCCAAACTTCCTGTCAATTCAGTCTGTCCATCAGAGCCCCTCATGCTTTCACCTTTTGAGTCCCTGCCTAAGATTGCAGATCCCTTCCCCCATACATACTTCAGTACCTCATTGTTGCACAGTCCAAATTATTACTGAGTACCAAACTGAATCCATGAACCCTATCCCAGGTCTCTGAAGCACTTTTTTTTTTCTTCTTCTCCTGTACCATATTTTGTGTGTGGATTTGTAGTTCCTGATGTTCTTAATAGACATACCAAAGTAGTAAGATAGGGTATACCTGCATAGTTGTCTATATAATAAGTACTAATTAGTTTTCTGACCTTGACCTCAAAATCTAACTAGTTTCTATAGTTATGCAATATAAAACAAAGTTATAAAAGATGTAACTATTCTATCATCTCCTAAAATGTGTAACCTCTGTATACTTCCCTTCTACCAGCCAGTTTAATCAGCTAGCTGACGGTAATTAAAGGCTCTCTAATTATACTCACTGTGTTGTTTCTTTAAGCTTAAGTGTGTGTAAATATGGAAGTCAAACCATGTGGGGCTGGGGCCTGGCCTGACCAGCCCAGCCACTTGCAACACTTGCCATTATTATGTAAATTGGGCCCTGTTTCTTGGTCATTCTGCCAGTCTCTTCTCTCTGACTGGTTTGATCTCTGCCTGACTGTCCCCACGCCCCATCTGGACATGGGCCTCAATCTCTTCACCCCACCATCACTGTGTCTGTCTCTGGTCCTGTGCCTCTTACCCCAGAGCTCATCTCTTGGATGTGATACTGTATTTATTCTGTTAGGAAGCTGCATTAAAACACCCAGTCCTAAAATGCTTTCATTGTTACCAAGGGTATCGTCAATACCCTTCATTGAGGAGAGAGTGGGATTGTTGTTGGGGCTAGCTACTTATTGGAAGGGGCAAGTCTAAAATCAGCATGTCAGACTCTCAGTTATTCAACCTCATGTGCAGAGGAGAGTTCCCCTCTCCTCAGTGGAGGGGGTTACAACAAGAAAACTCCTGCTAGGAAGGCAAGCAGCAGGACCTACTTAATAGCGGAAAACAAAGCACCTTAGAGGAAGAGAGATTCTATAGGCAAGGCAGCCCTGAGTTCAGTGATGGGAAATTTTCTTCACATGTAGTATTCCAGCTTGACCTCTTCCCACAGCCAGTGTTCCTAACACCATATATTGCTAACACTTGACACAGGGGATGTAAGCTTTCGTGTCTGCAAACACTCCTTAAGGAAAATACTATTGATCCCAAGATGTGGGAGTAGAGCATAGATTCATAGACTGTTAGGGGCTGGAAGGGACCTTACAAGATCATTGGGTCTAACCCCCTGCATTAGGCAGGAAAGGCAACTGAGAGTGGGTGACCCTAATGAGGTGACTGTCTAGTCTCCTCTTGAAGATTTCCAGAGTAAGTGATTGCACCACCTTTGGGGTGAGTTTATTCCACAGTTTAGGGAAAAACTTCAGTTAGGTTGTCCAGAGTTGAGCCTGAAGTGGTCTTCCAGGAGTTTGTGGTATGCACAGTAGTCTTTTTCCCCAGTCCTCTGGTATTTTGCGATAGAGCTGTCTGAAACAGCACCATTCCCTTTCAACAGGACAGTGTTTCATTTCAATCTACCTGCCTTTTACCAGGGGGATCCTTGGTCCTAGCACTTCCTAGGGCTGCCGCGCCCCAGCAGTCCTACCAGGCCTCTCTGACCTTGGTACCGTGCAGTTTTAGTGATCATCCCAAGGACCTGGGGCCTCTTCCTTTCCCATAGCCCCAGCCCATACCTCCAAGTTCATCCTGGCACGGGAGCTCAGCTGGGGCATGTTCCCTTGCTGGCTGGTGATGCAGTGAGTGCCCCCTCCATCTCTGAGAGTGGGGAATTAAATGGCTTTTTAAAAAATGAAAAAAGGTAATAGGTGTGGACAGGGTGAGGAGGGTGGCATTCACTCTGTCTGCACCTGGAGTGTGGGGAACCCTAGCAGCGGGAACTTCACCTTCAGGAACACCAGCTGCTCCACCAAACCAGGATCCAAGCAGGTGCGGTGAGGTGTCATAACATCCCCAGCAATGCTGAACACCCTCTTGCTTGGAACACTGGTTGCGGGGGACAGGACAGGTGTTTGTGGGCAACCATGGCCAGATCCGGCCACATCTGGCTGCAGCTTGCCCAGTAGGTCAAGGGGTCATACAGCAGCAGCTCCATATCCTTGGCAAGCTAGGCAGCTGCCAAGGCCTGAGTGCTACTTGCCTGATGGTGGGGTCAGGTGCCTCTGGACTGCACCATGGAAGCCATGCCCTCTGTCCACATTGGCAGCGCCTGTGGTGGAGAAGGAGACTGGATGGTATGCTAGCATGGGACAGTGGATCCTGCTCTTCCATGTCTTCCCGCCTCCGCCATTCTGCCTCCCTGACTCTCTTCACCAGCACCTCCGTCCACTGATTTTTGGTGTTGGCTGCTGCATACACCTTCCTTCACCCTCAGGTCACATATGGTGGCCAGCATGTGGACTGTACTGGATCAAACCATTTCCTGATGTCCTCCTTCAGCTGCTTCAACAGTGCTTGGACGTCTGGTGACGGTGGCTTGTTCCAGCCAGGAACATTGAATCCCTGGAAGCTCTCCATTTGGCTCTGAAGTTCCCTCACTATGGGGATTACCTGGCTAAAGAGGGCATTGCCAGCACTGAGCGTCTTGGTGGCTTTGAGGAAGGGCTTGAAGACCACCAAGATCTGGAAGATGGTATCCCACTTGGCTCTGTTAAGGGGGCTGCTGATTCCAATCTCCCTGAACAAGGCTATCTCATGGATGGCTTTCTGTTGCTCCACCAGTTTCTTGAGCATCAGGTATGTGGAGTTCCACTGAGTCTCCACATCCTGCATGATTTTGTGCTGTGGGGTGTTCAACTCTGCTTGTTTGTCCTGCAGCATCTTGCCCCTCTAAATGCTCCAGTGGAAGTAGTCTGCCACCTTCCTGCATTTGGAAATGAGCTTGCGGGTGGTGCTGGTGCCATCACTGACAGCCCTGTCCCTCTCCAAAGCATCCCTGACAATGAGGTGGAATTTGTGTGCCACACAACAGATGCCAACAAAGTTGGAATCGGAGATCGCCATGATCAAATTGGCCCTGTTGTCAGTGACCGTGAACCCATGGATGAACTTGCCCTGCCCAACAAGCCACCCCTGCACCAAGCAATTCATGGCCTCCATGATCTCTGT